TTGGAATCCCCTCGTATTTGTAATATATTGAAATCCCCTCATATATGTTTAAAAAATCGAAGAGTATTTTAATGCATTTCATGGGGATCATAAATCATTATACACGGGAAAATGTGTATTGTGGTGACAACTAAGAGCTCGGAGTGTAATCTTCAGAAAGCCGACAGATCTTGTTTGTGGAAAGTTATAGGTGTTGTATTATGTCCTAAATGGAAGATTTGTAAGGTGTTACAACGATATAAGAGCCCATCGTATTTTTAATGAAGTTTTGAAGAGCCAAGCTTAGAAGATTGCAATTTTTTAACCCGAAGCCCGATGATCTAACTTCAACTTCCTTTATCTATTTGTTTGTCCCTGGTCATTCCAGACCATTTTGAAGCTTGTGATACGCATTTGTGTTATTTTACAGTGTTTAGAAAACCAGTTCCAGCCTCAAAACCTTTAAAGTAGATATAATGTTTAGTGAAATCAGGTACTTTTTTTTGTTAATTTTTTTTTAAAAGTAAAAATAGACATTTTTCATCAATAATTGCTTTCATGACAAGTTGAAAAATTGTAATAAGTAAAATTATAAAAATTAGGGATTGGATAACTGTCATAATAATTATTCAGTCTTAATGGTACTTACAAATGGATTGATATCTTACCTCAAATCACCGAAGAGTACAATAACACGAAACATAGCAAAATTCAACTTAGACCTGTTGACGTTAATAAATCCAACGAAAAAAATATTTTACGAAAATATTACACTCACTTGAAAATCGCTGCTCCACGAAAATTTAAAGTTCGTGATGTAGTTCGCATTAGTAAAAATAAACATGTTTTCGATAAAGGATGTAAGCCGAATTGGAAAACTGAATTATTTAAAATCGTTGAAATTAAAATAACGAACCCTACAACATACTTGATTAAAGATATGACTGGAGCGCCTATCCGAAGAGCATTCTACGAAGAAGAATTGCAAAAACCGGCTAATCCCGACATTTATTTAGTTGAAAAAGTACTGCGCAGACGCGGAAATAAGATGTACGTTCAATGGTTAGGATTGGATAGCAAACATAACAGTTGGATTAATAGTTCAGACCTAGTTTGAGGATCTATATTTTAATACGCCGCGTAGACATACTCTACATGAGTGGGGAGTGGCGGACTAAAAAGTATAAATTTAAGACAAACTACGATGATCTGTTCAGTTTACATTCACTTAGTCGACGGTAGTACCATGAGTTCTCAAGATAGCGGTTACGACAGTCCGACTGTTAATTTCGATGATGATAGCAGTAAATTTCGCATAGAATTTAACTACGAATAAGAAAATCAACCACCTAGTCCTGGCGCCGAATTAGATCGAATATTGGCAAAATTTGCAGACGCTGCGAAAAATGAGCCATATTGTTTATTGGAAACAACATATACAACGAGCTCTCTCCGCATAAAAATTGGTCTATCTCCAGCTCGAGATTTTTCACCAAGTATCATTCTGTGTCAACATGGTAATTTTAAAAGAATCAGTTTAAGCACATTCGAATGGGAAGCCATAATTGAGTGGTTTAAAGAAAAGGCGAGTGATTTTTTCGAAGCAGATCTACCGACTTAAGGAGATGAGTATGATCCTACAATATTTATGTGCGGTGATTTTTGCAAACTTAGACAATTGGTGATGGAAAATGTAAAGTTGCTGACCATTGAGAAATTTTGAGTCGAATATTATTTATGGGAAGATGAAGTCAACCAAATTATAAACGCAAAGCAGGGCTTAATGTCCCATAGAGTGACGTTGTTAAAGAGTTTGCAATTCCATGAATACTATACTCACAACTACTGTCGCTGCTTTTATACTCGCAGTACGCGCAGGAGCGGTATGCGCTGACGTGGTCTGAGCTGACGTGGCGTGAGCGGTGTGGGTGTGAGGTCGCTGAAGCAGAAGTCGCCATGTTGCCGAAACGTCGAGCATTAAATTCTTAACGCGGTTCTTCCCGAGAACCTAGTGATTTTCATTCATCTGATCGCGGAAGTCTATCCGAACATTTTATTCGCCTCTACGGGGACGAATTTTTCATTCTCACTAAATCCTTTTCTAATCTTCTAACACGCAAATACCGTCTTCTCTGTGATCTTGCTTTTCTTAAATCATGTTGTGACTATCAAGTCATTCCAAAATCTCTTCAAGGTAAATATCACACTAAATCTCCATCTATTTCCAAAATCCTTAGAGCAACTGGTTTTTCGCTTCTTAGAAATTCAATTCATTCCACACGCCGCAACTTAGATTCAACAAATTCTCAAACCTACATTCTTTCTACTTTCGATCGTCTTTCTCACCAAAAAGCCCAACACATTTCTGACAACAAAACTCAAATCCAGAAACGCAAATTGGACCAACTTATTTCTCCGCAAAATCCACAGCCCATTTCGAATCAATAACCCTTTACTATTGTCCGCAATTTCTCAGATATTCAGATATCCGATTCTGCTACCAAAGTTCTATGAAAAAGCTTCAATTTTTCGGTCACTCCTCTTTCCATACAAACAGAGAAAATTATTTGTCAAACTGAAGAAGCTATTTCCCATCTCCCTTCGGACCAAGCCGAAATTGCCAGACAAGATGTTGCCAGAATTCTCCGTACTTAAAAACCCCCACCGTCAAATATCAGTCTTTCAGAAAGACGTGCCCTCAAAGAACTTTAAAACAACCCTGACATTGTCATCCTTCCGGCCGACAAAGGTAATGCCACCGTCATTCTCAACTCTTCTAATTATTTCGACAAAATGTTCGAACTTCTCAATTCCACAGAATACAAACGCGTCCCAAACGATCCCACCACATATCTAGAAAAAACTACCAAATCCATTATACATAAGTTTACTCTACCTCCAGACATCAAAAAATCTCGTATACCCAGAGAAAAGTCATCTCGAATCACAAGGTATACGGCCTTCCAAAAATCCATAAGCCCAATGTTCCTCTAAGGCTCATCGTCAGTGCATACAACTGCCGTATTAAAAAATTGGCACAACATCTCGCTTTATCCTTACAACCATTAGCCGAAAAAGCTTCGTCTTTTGTCAACAACTCTTTTCATTTCATTGATCTTCTGAAAAATATTTCTATCTCACCTCAGATATACTAGTTAGTTTTGACATTGTTTCTTTGTTCACCAACATTCCCATCGATGAAACCATTTCCATCTTGGACTCTAAACATCATATCCCCCAAGACACACTATCTCTTATAAAACACTGCATGTCTAATACATACTTTTCATTCCAAAATCATTTCTATCGTCAAATCAAAGGTACCCCAATGGGATCTCCCCCTCTCTTCCGTAATAGCTGATATTTTCATGGAACATTTCGAAACATCAGCCCTGTCCTCATCAAATCTCAAACCCACCCGCTGGTTACGGTATGTTGATGACACTTTTATCATTTGGCTTCATGGTAAGGACGCGTTAGATCTCTTCCTCTCCCACCTGAATTGAATACATCCTAGTATTCAATTCACGATGGAAGTTGAGTCTGAAGCGTCTTTGCCATTCCTTGATGTCCTTATTCAGAAAACGTACCTCACAGTTTTTCCTATTCCGTGTACCGGAAACCCACTCATACAAACCGATATCTTAATGCCCAGTCACATCATCACCCCGCCCAACTCAGTTCAGTTGTCAACACTCTCATTTTTCGTTCCATAAGATTTAGCGACAACAATCATAGGTCATCCGAAATCAATTCAATAAGGCAAACACTCTTACAAAACGGCTACCATAAAACACAAATCAATAAAAGCATTCAAAAACATCTAAATCCCATTCCATCCAAAAAAGAAACCTTGCCGCTGGATCAACCCAAAATCTTTCTACCTTTCTACTCCAAGTTGTCCAATGCTCGTATTTACGAACATTCTATATCAGTCAAACATTCCGATACTACTTCAGCCCTAGCTTAACATCATTTAAACAGGCCACAAAATAATATTCGAAAAAGCAAAAAACCATCGCCCTCATCCGCTCCTTAATATCAAGAATCATTCGTGAAGCTATCGAAATCTAAAAACGGTCTAACAGCTTAAATACGCGCGATGACGCGAAATGATTGCCGGCAACATGGCGACCCCTGTTTCAGCGACCTCCTGCCCACACCGCTCAGGCCACGTCAGTTCAGACCACGTCAGCCCATATCGTTCCCGCGCGTACAGCGAGTATAAAAGCAGCGACACAGGGTAAGACCGGTTGTCACTCGACACTGAGGAGTAGGCAGATTGAGACCTCAGTGCCGAGAGACAGTTTTTGTATTTATTATACATTGGAATATTTGTCTCTTCTACTTAAATGACGTAATCGTTTATAGCCAAACTTTTGACGGACATATCGACAACCTTACCAGTGTTTTCAAAGAATTGAGAAGTGCGAATCTGAAATTGAATCCCAGTTATTCCAAAAGCAAGTGGTCTTCCTTGGACATGTGACATGTGACAAGCATCAATTGAGATCCTTTTTGAGCTTGTGTTCGTCCATAAGAGGATTTGCTAATATTAAAAAAAAATCAGTTTAACTGGAATGAACAGTGTCAAAAAGCTTTTGATAGACTAAAAGACTTACTACTGCACCAATATTGTCATCACCAAATTCCAAGGCAAGTTTCATAGTTGACACTGTGGGGCAATGTGGGTCTTGGTGATGTTTTTTGCAAAACATCAATGGGACAGAACGAGTTATTATTACACATAAAAACTGACTATCCAATATCTATTCTAAAAACAGGTGGTAGGTGACGCTGGTGTCCGATAACATGAAATTCAAGATAATAATGAAAATGTAATTGAGAATAAATTCTATATTATATTTAACAAATTTTGAAAATTACTAAAATCGTGTGATATAAAAAAATATTAACAATTTAGTAATAAACAGACATAAAATTTCATTAACCAACATATAGTCATAACGCGCAATCAGAAGTAGTCACTTCTGTCAGCACTCAAATCTAGCGTAACTTACCTGTAAAATGTGAAAGCCGCTTAAATTCAATATATCAACCTCTTCAAATTTTAATTTTGGTTTAGTAGACTGAGAATAACATTGGGTTAGATTGATCAAATGATTTAAATCACAACATATCACACTTCTATTTTCTTCAACAATCATCAAAACCTTATTTGTTGTGGACATTACGCATATTTGATGAATACTTTTTGGACCTAAAAACAAAAACAAATATTAATACGCAAAATATGTATTTCTGTATATTTGTATATAACTAGCTGACCCGGCGAACTCTACCTTTTTAAAACTTTTTTATAACAACTCGAGAACGGCTGGATCGATTTGGCTAATTTGGATTTTAAAATATTTGGATAAAATAAAATAAATTAAAAACCATTGCTCTGTACGTAGACGATAAGAAAGCTATGTATTCCCACCTCTGACTCTCCAGGAGTGCACATCCCTTCCCATTTTTTGGAAGCATAGCTTTCTAATCGCGAGCTACGGACGACGTGGTGCACCGCGGTGGAACGCACAGAGGAGTGAAAACAATGAAACTGATAGTAAGGGCTGTAGCGACTGTAATGATATATCGCGAGATCCCACATTACGTGTGTATTGGAATCGAATCGAAGTGAATTGAATCGAATTGGAATCGACTCGAATCAATTCAAATCCCCAATTTCGAGAGAACTGTACGCAATATTTTAAAAAGAAACAAGTACCATTGCTACAAATTACAAAAAAAACTCATTTTCACTGCTGGTGATGAAAGACGGATGGTGTTTTGTGAGGATATAATGGAAAGCACTAATCGTGACGAAGATTTCATGAAAAAAATATTGTTACAGATAAGTCTTCTTTTTCTTTAACTGGTCATCACAATCCATCTGTTACTGTAGGGTACTCTACAGTAAATTGGCACATAAGTATTGCTTACAAAACACAATACCGTCAAAAAGTCAACGTCTGAGCTAGTATTTTAGGTGACAAAGCAATTGGTCTTTTTTCATTGTGGGAACATTGTGTCGTCGTAAATACTTAGATCTCCTGAGAAGTCACATAATAGCAGCAGTTCGAGAACTACCTATTAATATGGGTGAAATTTTTTTGCAGCAAAATAGTTGTCCAGCTCATAATGGACGGGAGGTGTTTGATTTTTTAAACCCCACGTTTCCATATAGAGTTATTATTAGAAAAGGTACCATAAAAATGCCACCTCGCTCACCTGATCTTGCACCTTTGGACTTTTTCGTATGGGGTTATGTGAAGCAACAAATTTACCGATATGAACATGAACGTGCCGGAAAGCACGTTTCAAAGGAACTGCTTGGATGCACATGGTTGTAAATTTAATTTGAAATAGTTTTAATTAAAATTATATTGTTATTTTTTAGAATAAATTGTTTTAATTTATACCGTTAAGAATTTATTATTTTTTACAAATAAAGATTAAAAAAATAATTCTTAATTAATTAATTAAGAAATGACTAAAGAAAGATTTAATCTAAGATATGAACCTGCTTTTAAATTTTGTAATCACACCGTTGAAATATTTCCCCAAAACAACAACAAAAAAAAACTTTCTTCGGCAACAATGTACAGACAAGACTGCCCATAGTGCTTATGGGTCTATCACAGACTTGTGGTTACATGTTATTCTCTCGTACATACAAGTCTATATGGTGAGCTTGGTGCAAAAACTCACTAAGTTAAAATAATTCATTTCGATAAAATGGCTAATAAAAAAAAACCTCGTGTTTTATGTTGTTAAAGCCCTAAATAACACTTTATTTTTTCATTTTTATGTGTGTTACTAGATAAAAGATATATTATCAGATGTTTTATCAACCATTTTTTGACCAGTTTTATTATTACTGTTTGTAGGATAAAAAAACAAAAAAAGTCTGACTTAGTGAGTTTTAAATCTGTACCATAATTATAAAAACGCTGTTGATTTAATGAGGTTTTAAGTAATGGATTGCTCACAGTAAAAATTCACAGTACGTTGGCATTAAATTTTATTGAAAAAAATACAAATCCTTGACATGGAAACAATGCATATATAATTACTGATGGTTTTCGAGATTTTCAATTTCAGGAACAATATCTCTCGCTGTGGAAAACGTTGGTAGTGGCCTCTACCACCCATGGTATTTACTTGGAATTACTTTTCGCAGAGTTTAATTAGATCTTCTTTTTTATTAATAGATATGGGTAGAGCGCCTTTATATAATTTTTTGAGTTCTAGCTCAGTACAGTCAGTTTATCAATTAGTACGAACTCGTTCTTCGATGTTGATTTTTTTGTACTCTCCAAAATAGTCGTATCTGTATTCAATAACATTTGAGTGTCCTTTTTTAATTAAAAAAAAATAGCTTAAGTAAATTTACTTTTTGTTTTGTCTAGAGAGATCCTTCAAGTCCAGGAACTGATTAAATTTAAGTTGGTAACGCTACAGGTAATGTATGTATGGTTAATAATTTTTAAATCTATTGCGCTTAAATCTTGCCCTTTTAAAAAGACTAAGCCAGTTGTTCACAATGTATACATGTTTATAATTTTTTTCCTTTTCAATGGCATTGTGTATTGAGTCGAATTCCATGTATAAGTGTGGCCACGTTCTAAAAATTTACGTTGAATCGATTGAGGTTACTTGAACAAGGTATAAAAAAGAACAATACTCTGGTTTCTATTCGTACCTCCACAGGTGTTAGAGGAAACCGTGATGTGTTTTACTTCAGGATGTAACGTTTCAAACCATTAGTATAAACACGTACCAATTTCTAAGCTTCCTTGTTTTCCATTTAGTTCACTCCAAGCAAAATAGTATGCTTTGTGAGGTTGTGGAGTTTCATAAATTGTTAAATTGTACATGTTTACTTTCCTTGTATAATATATAGATGACACGTCAGAAGATGGTATTTGCAAAACTGACTGCAAGTCTAATGTTGCAGAAAGGAAAGATGGATCATTCTGAGATTTAGATTTGTCGAATTCATTAGCCTTCGCGGCATCATATGATTCCAATAATCTTCATCTAAATCATGATGCTGTTTTCTACATCTGATGCTGTATAACGATCATACATTTGATACGTGTTTTTAAAAAACACGTCTTTTCGAGGTTTTAAAAAAGGAAGGTTATACTGTGTTCCAAAAATTTTTCTGTAGACATGTATGGTAACTGAACTGCATTAAAATCATTTTCGTGGCATAATGAAGAATAAAGTTGATACATTTTGGAAACGCTTAATCTTGAGTTTAATTACAGTCTGTTCCTTGACTTGCGACAGTAATGGCTTTCCATTGTAGGAAAACTTTAAATGTGAGCCTTAACTCTTGCAATATCAAGATCGGAAGTTGTTTGCAGATAGTCTTTTTCCTAGCTTGTCTTTACCTTCAAATACACCAAAAATTTCTGTTTTGGAATGTTGTCATTATCAGACCATTACTAATATTAAGGGTTTTCATGAAAAATGTTTGACACACTCTAAGTTTCTCGTTTTCCTTAAAAAATGTTTTTTGGCATTACTCCTCATTTTAATGTTTTCACCCTGTCTTGGCCTGCGAGTTTTTGGTGGATTTAGTGCAACATTTCGTATAAAAGCCTACACGAATTTTCGCAAGAAATAGGCTGAGGTGCATTGGAGGTCTTATTATCCCTCTGGTTGGTGAGTATTCTTGACATTTACTCATTTGTTCTTTAGTTCGATTTCTATGCCATATCTGTGAGTCATTTTTCTCCATCTAGCTAAATGTCTTTCGTCATCATTTACCGGTACTTCATCGGATATTTACATTCTAATCGGATGCTGTAAAGTGGCTAGGCAGGTATCTTAAATTTCACTATCTTCGTCACAAGAAGAATATGGCATAAGAAAAGTTCTGTTAGGCATATAATTTATTAGTTGGTGAATTCAACGAGAACGCTATTGTCTTAATCTCATCGAGCAAAATGACAAAAGAGGGAATCTAATCCTTATGAAAAGGAGACCAAAAAAGTGGCCTCTGATGGCGGACATATCCGGAAATGCGAATGCGCCAAATTAAAATTTTTCGACACTTATTAACAGTAGCTATATAATATTTTTCAGAATGTGTTTTAGATGAGAAAGTTTTAATTAATTATTAACGGTAATACTCTAAAATGCGACACAATTGTTAAAAAACTTCAATTAAGATTTCATGTGACATTTGGGACAAACAATAACATAACTCTTTTGTCTTTTTGCTCGATGCTTAATCTACAGTATACTTCGTTGTTTCTGCCAAATTGGGAGTAGGTTTTACTACAGACTCGATACCTAAAATATCAAATCAATCTTCTTCTTCAGATGCAAATCCACTAATGGATGTTAGCGATCACATTTTCCATTAACTCTCTATTTCTTGCAATATGTATCAGAGATTGTATGTCGTTAATCCCTGTCCATTGCCTTATGTTTCGGAGCCAGGACATTTTCTTGCGTCCCATTCCTCTCTTGCCTTCAATTTTACCCTCGATTATAAGTTGGAGGAACTGGTATTTTTCATTTCGCATGATGTGACCTAGATACGCCGTTTTCCTTTTCTTGATGGTTTCGAAAAGTTGGCGTTCTTGGTTTATTCTTTTAAGGACATCTATATTTGTGATTTTCGCTGTCCATGGTATTTTTAGGATACGGCGATAAAGCCACATTTCGAAAGCTTCCAATCTGTTTATATCCCTCGTTTTGAGTGTCCAGCCCTCTACGCCATATAGCAGCACTGACCATACCACTTAGTAAACCTTAGTCTCAGTTGAAGATCGAACTCTGAACAAGTCAGTACCTTCTTGAATTTTACGAAAGCTTGTCGAGCTTGCTCAATGCGACATTTTACTTCCCTGTCCGATGCCCAGTCTTCAAAAAGCCACGATCCCAGGTATTTAACTTTACTCACTCTTTCTATGGATTTACTATTCAGTGTTATGGTGGAGTTTTCAAATGCATCCAAGTTTCTGGAGATGACCATGAATTTGGTCTTTTTGGTATTAATCTCTATTCCCATTCGCTCACTGTATTCTTCGATTATAGTGACAAGTTGTTGAAGATCGACTATGTTGTCACAAATTAAGACACCATCATCAGCATATCGTATGTTGTTGATCAATACTCCATTCACCTTGATTCCCATCTCTGCATCCTCCAAAGACTCTTGAAATATGGCTTCTGAATAAATGTTAAATAAAAGAG